AAACAAAGGGGATTAGCAAAGTTGCTAATCCCCGGCAACGGCACCAAAAATTTGATGTGATATAAATTAGCACTCAAATTAAACCCTCTTATTAACAATTGTAGTAAAGATGTAAGTAGGGATCGTTCTAGGCCGGGGATTATGAGAGATTGCTAATCAACTCTAAACTGACTTTAAAACACAAAACTAGGCTTAAAAACACTTAACTAGACTAAAAGAACTCAAAACAATCTAAAAAGACTCAAAACAGCACAAAACAAGCAAATAGACTCAAAACAGAAACTAAGAGTGATTTTGGACGAATTCTAACTTAACTCTGACTCAAAACACTAAAGGAAACAATCTAAAACAGGTTCTAACTAAGTAAAACACGAAATATTAAAGGAGGGATTGGTTTTGACGAATTTAAAGTAAAACAAATAGATTTAAAGACTTAAACAACTTTGGACGAAATCAGGTGAATTTATGGGTGATAAGCTAGTTAGAGGGTCCTTCTCCACACATGACACACTTGCATACAAATTGATTTCCAGTTGCTTTTCTAATAAATCATGAACCTCAACACACCAGATTAACCGTGAACAGCACTAATTAACCCTCAGATTTTCCTTAAGTCATTGAATTGGATGGAATACGCATCAGCAACCAAATTATTCTTCAATAGTTCCCTACATGAACAACATAATAGAGATACAATCAAAGATCACTAAGCTTTGTGAAAATCATAAGCATTGACAAGGCATTCGTAACTATGAACAGCATGATACTCCTGCCAGGAATTTACTTAACACGATTGTGACTAGCAACCTTCACTACCTGGAAATTCATAACGATTAGGTGAAAATCCCTTATATTTTAGCATCAAATTCATGCATGCAAACTAAGTAGGTCTCCTTAATCAACATACAAGAATAAGTAGGGCTGGAAAAAAATCCCAAAAATCCCAAACCAAACCGAAAAAATCCCGATCCCAAACCAAAAAAATCCCAAACCAAAATTCCCGAAAATTTCGGTATGTCATCCCAAACCAAACCGAAATTTTCGGTACGGGATTCGGTATTGCATCTCCATTTTTTCGGTATTCCCATACCGAACCGAAATAAATATTATATATATATTATTTTTTAATTATAAGAGAATTATTTCAACCGTTCATTGTTTTAGATTTAATCTGTGCTGTTCATTTGTTTTTAGGTTAGATCCCCCATTTCAATTTTCACTTCCGTTCCATCAAGAGCTTGAAGCGCAGCCACTGTGCCACCAGCCTTCCTTCACCAGAATCACCACCCAGCCACCACCCAGCTTGGCTTATAACTATTATTTTTGCTTTTGAGTTTGTTACTTTATTTATTTTAAAACCTTGGCTTGTAACTATTATTTTTGCTTTTGGGTTTGGTACCTAATTTATTTTTATTGCATGCATGATGCATGTGTAGTGGGCAGATTGAAATTTTGTTATTATTGAAACTTTGTGCACAAATGGGCAGTGGGTAGATTGAAACTTAATTTATGAAACTATGTCAAATTTGTGCAATGGGCCGTGGGCAAATTAGTAGAAATAACAAATTGGCAGTTTGAGCCAAAAAGCATAATATGTCAAATTTTAGCCAAAAACATAATATGTCAAATTTTAGTCCAAAAGCCCAAAAGCATTTTGGGATTCCCGATTTGTCCCGAAATCCCGAAATTATTTCGGGATTCCCGAAAATTGGGATTCCCGAAAATTTGGTTTGGGATTGGTATTGAATTTGGGATTCCCGAAAATTTCGGTTTGGGAATCGGGACAAGGGTTTCGGTATGGGATCCCATACCGAACCACCCCTAAGAATAAGTTATCAATCAAGTAGTTAAGTAAATTGCATTCACAATTTATGAAATCACAACTGGAGGTAATCAATTCATATTGCAAATATAATCATGGTTTCAAAGTCTCCTCTAGCTAAAACGAGTTTAGCTCCTCATGTTCGCAAAACAAAGATAATTGAACTTAAACATTGAAAACAAAAGATTGAATACACCTAGAAACACTCCAACAATCCGATCTTAAATGGCAAGCATGTCCTAAGGTCCTCTTTCTTCTTCTTTGCTGCGGCACAAGGTGTGGGTGAAGGTTTGAGTGATGAATTGTATGAAAGAATGGCTGAAAGTATGAATTGGTATCTGAATGGGTGCGGCAAGGCTCTTTATTTATATGGGATGGAAGGGCACGGCTGAGAATTAATTTGGGAAAGGTTTAAGACTCCAAATCCTCCAAGAAAAGGGTAACAAATCAGAATTCCAAGAGGAAAAGGGTAACAAGGTGCGGCAAGGGAATTGGGAAAGGTAGAAGGCCTTGCACGGCAAGGAAAGGGATAGGTGGTGCGGCATCCCTCTTTGACTGGGATTAGGGCTTCTAGAACTTATATTTAAGTGTCCTAAATTAATTAGGAACCCCCCCTTTAACAGCTGGAAATTAAGTAGGAAAATATTAGGATTGACTAAGTCAAAATAAGGAAGTTTGACTCATGTTTCCTTCGTTGTAGCTGATTCTTTCTCTTCCAAGTCTTGAATTAATTTCTTCCATCTCTTTAGTAGATTCCTAGCCTTTCTTGAACTTCAATTTCATCCATCCATCTCGCTCCAAGCATGTGCTATCCATTCCAAGCCTAAAACTGCTCCAAATTGTCTTTTCTTGTCACTTTAGCCATTTGGACCTACAAACATATGAAAATAGCTTAAAATACTAAAATAAATAGAAACTAACTAAGTAAATGTAAGGAAATAGGCTAACAAAGTCGCATAAATATGCTCCTATATATAATGGAGGTGGTCTCAAGTCTCAGATTCCAAGCTAGCTGGAATATCACGCGATAGGATAATTTTTGAAGACATTGTTGTAAAGTTAGAAAGATGAGATGATTTTTCAAAATTCTTCTACTCTTCCTCGTCAACATTATTCCAACATATATGCTGGCTGGAAACTACAAGGAATGCACATTTCCAACATGCATAAAAAACAAACAAACGCATTAGACATTACATAAAATCTAAAAGTTCATAAAGACCTAATATATAATTATATATACACAAGCACACGAAGTAATTCGCAAGAAATTCAAGTTTAGATGTAAGTATAGTTTTCAATTTCAAATGGCATTTCAGTCAAAATGATCACTAAGATTAGCATAATTTTTCATTTTGATTCCTAAAATTAGAAATTGTCAGAAGTAGTCCCTGAGTTTGTCCGTCATCACTCAGGGACCACTTCTCTCAATTTCAAATTTCAGGGACCAAATTAAATAGTCATAACAATCTCATGGACTATTTTGGCTAAAAAAACCCATTCAAACATAGCAGCAGCGTGCCCATAACATATTCAGGCAAGGGCTTGCTTTTAATAATATGTCTGGATTATATATCTAAAAATTTTATCATCTTTGTCAAAAGCTACTACATGAAAAGAAAGAAAGAAAACAAACTTTAAACACCCTAGTGCTTTAGAACTTCATCAAACATACACAATTCATGAAAACAACGAAATCAATTTTGTATAGCAAATACGAGAAGAAATAAATCGGGTGCATCCTTCGTGGACCAAAAGGCCGAACACAACACATTGAAATAAATTCGGCCTAAAAAACTTTGACCACTAGTTGGATTCAATTGAATCCATTAATCCCTCTCAATTTTCTCAACAATCCATCATAAAAAATAAAAATTATCCAATGAATTACAGAAACAAAACAGAATCAGTACAAGATCAAACCTTTAGCTATTCATCTGACTAAATTGGAAAATAAAATTAAAAAACAAAAAAACAAAACCACCTAACTCACATTCATCAACGGAAATCCATAGCTCAATCCGAACATACCCAATCACAATTTTGAAATAAGAAGAAATATAAATTAACAAATAAAAAAAATTGGTTTTAGAGGGACTCACCGAGTGATCGGATACGGAGGAGGCCGATTGATGAAGGTGAATTACAGGTTTAAATTTAATTGAATAAAGATATTAATTAATTAATATGGAGTAAGAGATTTGCTTTCCCTTGACAGAGTCAAGCTCGAGGAGACCTAGGTTGAGTGACAGAGTCGAGCTAGGGGTGGTGGAGGAGACGACGAGGCAAGACAGGGAGAGAGAATCGAGTCGAGTTCGAGGACTCCAGTGACAAAGTTGAGCTCAAGGAGACCTAGGTCCTAAGTAAAACTAATGGTTCAGATTTGCTGGTAGGTTCATTTTCAATCTCATCCGTCCATTGTAATTACAAACGGGCTGATCCGGGTACCTGTTTTTCTATACCTTTGGAACCAGACCACCCCTAAAATTTCAAAGCCCCGGTTCGCCCTGCCCCATTTCTCTTTTTAAAAATTAAGAACCGACCCGTACCCGCCCGAACCCCGGTTTCTATACTCGTTTGCCCACCCCTATCATTGATGACTTGTCCATTTGTGATGAGTCATATGCCACATGAAGCTTTGTGATACATCATTTGTATGCAACGAAATTTACATGTCTACAATCATACACGTGAGGCTGAATCAAGGGGCAAATATAAAAAATCAAATAAGAAGAATTATACCAATGGTCCCTGAACTTTAATTCAACTAGAGAAATGGTTCCTTAGCTTTAACCTAATTGGAGCAATGCTCCCTCAACTTTAACTCAATTGTAGTAATGATCCTTTCAATATAATTTATTTTGACAAAATTTTGACAGAGATGACGAAAATGACCACAACTATATATTTTGATAAGTTAAGGAACCAATAGTATAAATTTTTAGTTGAAAAATCATTACTCTTAATTTAATTAAAATTGAAGAACCATTACTACAATTTATTTTAGTTTTATGCACGCATCCCATCCGATCCCCTAACCCGTTCACTGAGCCAGGTACAACGTCCGAATCCAAGATCCACAACCCATACCCAAACCCAAAAGTCCACCAGAACATCTCAACGTTTGATCACTTCGATTCTTCATTAGTCTTTCAGTCAGACAGTCCATCTCTCTCCCATTGTTTGTTCAGCAATGGCAGGATTTCGATTGGGGCAAGATGACTCGGAGATATCGCAGCAGAGCCGAGCCGCACCGGCCGATCTCGTCTCCGACGATGAACGCTCCGTCGCCGCCGACTCATGGTCCATCAAGAGTGATTATGGAAGCACTCTCGACGACGACCAGCGCCATGCCGACGCCGCCGAGGACCTCTCAGCTGCTAACCTCCGTGCCCCCTCCGAATACAGGTTTGCTCCCCTCCCCCCTATTTGGTTTCCAGCAAATATATGTAAATAAAATATTAATTAATTAGTGCAAAATTAAGTTATTAAGACTAAATCTTTGAATTTCTTGTTGTATTTATGCTTTTCCAGTTCTGAATTTCGAGGAAGAATTAATAGGCTATTAGTTTAGGAACAATTATTTCTTGTTGTATTTTTATTGATATTGTGGTACTTGCAGTTCTGACAAGGAGGAACCAGATGCTGAAGGGGTGACATCAATGCTAGGTCTTCAGAGTTATTGGGATGCTGCATATGCAGATGAGTTGGCGAATTTTCGGGAACATGGTCATACCGGTGAAGTTTGGTAAGCTTTTCGCAACTGTGCAAATTAATTTGTGATGCGTTTCTTCTGGCTTTGGGGCACCGTAGACAACAGCTAAGTGGTAACATCAAAATATCCGGAATCAAAGAGAACTCTTGAAGGTAGAGAGAGAAATTAGAGGGAGAAAGCTTTTTGTGTTGTTTGAGAAGATGAATCGTACAAAGTCTGGTATTCTAGAGGAATTATTATGAGCTTGTATATGTTTAAGCTAACTGTCTCTAACTAGCTAACAACCACAATTACAAAACTGTTAAGAATTAGTGAAACGCTATCTTGTGAAGATCACATGGGTTAATTTTTTTACTTGGTACTAATTACGTTATGTGCATTTGTTGCCACTTTTCAAAGAGCCTTAGGAAAAAGATATTCATATTAGTGAGAGGAGATTGAAGAAAAACCTTTCTTAACAATATTGATATCCTTTTCATATCAACGATATAAAATGAAAGGGGATGATTTTATAATATTACCAGCCCTGCGAGTCACTTTTTGTCGTGATTTACCAGAGTTTGTCAACCTTTACTCCTTACTTTTATAAATCCAGAGTAGTGAGGGATTCATATTTTAGTTCCCCTTTGTGTTAAAGTGAGTAGATACTGTAAGGCGTGGAGCGTTTGATGATTTCAGCCCTCTATTTCTGTAGGTTTGGAGCTGACGTCATGGAAGTGGTCGCCTCATGGACCAAAAGCTTATGCATTGATATTTCTAAAGGTCGCACACCAAATCATGTTGATAATAATAAGTCTGATACTGTGGAACAAGGTGATAAGTATCTTTCAGGCTGGAGTGTACTTGACATCGGGACTGGCAATGGTTTGCTTCTTCAAGAACTTTCCAAGCAGGGGTATTCTTTTATTCATTGAACTTTGTCTGGTTTTATATGCTGAATTAGATTGAATTCCTGTATGGAAGCAAATAAAATGCAAACTAGGTGAATCCTGTATCAGATTGGAATGTCTAGGCTGGAGACATCTTGTTTTAACTTTAAGGTTAACAAGTTGCCCATGGATGCGAGTCTCAGTATGTATGTGCCAATTGGTTAAAGTGATTTATGCATTTAGATTCTTTAGAATGATGTAGCAGTGAAGAAAGTTAACCATCAAAGATAAATAGGTAACAAACCTGATGGAAATGTGCAAATGCAAATGTCCTTAAACCCTTAAATATTTATTTGTAGTTTATAATAAGTTATAAGATTTAAATGTAGAAACTTGAAGGATCAGGAGGTGGACAGAATGTTGACTCACCCAATCTAATTTTGTGATCTCAATCAAATCATCCCTTTATTTATTTAGAACAAGTCTGCTATCAGTTTTTCACCAACCTACTTACTCTCAAGTGCCGTCACTGTCACCACTGCACATACGACACCTTTGCCGCTATTAAATCAGGCTTCCTTTACTCATATGGTTGGGTATTTTGATATGCTTCATCCTCCAAGAATCAATTCGGTCCTAAAGGGGGCATGATATTTTGAGAATGTGCATTTGGCCTTTTTATTTGTGTTCAGTACATTTGTTAATAAGTTAACATACTGGCTAAAGTCAATTAAAAGAACCTTCCAATATGTAATCTAAAAATCTCATAAACCTTCTTTCTTGAATTGAAACGATCTTAAAATCTTATTTAAATGGTATGTTTTGCTCGAGGATCATTCCTATGTAATTATTATTGGTTATTAGGCCCCAATTCACCCTCCCAAAAATACAATTTCAATGCTTAATGTCCTTTTTTGCCTCCCTTGTTGGAGGGTTGGTGAGAAGTGCTGGGTGCCAGAGAGTTGTAAATAAAAGTGAGTCCAAGATTTCATGAAAGTTCTTTGGTGAGTGAATTTCCATTGTTTCTCTAAATGTCAGAGACACCATAATGAATGAAATTCTGGTGTTTTGGGTTCAGGTTCTCTGATTTAACAGGAACTGATTATAGTGAAGGGGCGATTGACCTTGCTCGAAGCCTTGCTGATCGTGATGGATTGCCAAACATTAAATTTTTGGTATACCTTTCCTTTTGACCAATGTTTTCTGGTATGTTTAGGCTTCAGAAAAAAATTATTAGATTTCTATAATCCTTACGCCTGTATATTTCTGGATAACGAAGTTGTATGAAGCGAATTTCTCTTCTTTAGTGTTAAATTGTTAATGTCTTCCAAATCATTGCTTGTAGTTAAGCTATTATTTTGATACTTCATTTCTACAATATTGTAAAATGAATTGTGTCACTATTTTTTAGGTTGATGATATTCTAGAGACCAAGTTGGAAAGGCAGTTCCAACTAGTTGTGGACAAAGGAACCTTGGATGCCATTGGATTGCATCCAGATGGTTCTACCAAAAGGTAAAAGCCAGCATAGTATGCTATGCTGCATGTATTCTGTTACGATTATTACTCTTATCTATTTTCTGATTGATAATTCCTCTGTTTCTGTGTGAATGATTTGTCTAGTGACTTTAGTCTATCTAATTGCTCGGTGTTATTAAATAGAAGGAAAGTGGAGTCTGGAATTGCTAATTCATATTTTTTATACAGGGTAATTTATTGGGATTCAGTTTCACGATTGGTGGCTTCTGGTGGATTATTAGTAAGCATCTTCACTTTGGCTAATACTCGTTAATTAAAACTGCAGTTACCTTCATTTAGGGTGTGTTTTCAAGTGCTAAAAGGAAGAGTATAGATAATATATTTTGTTATGAACCCTAGCGCTTCTTGCCTGTTCACTTTGAAAGTGCTTGGTTTTGTTCTCTTTCTTTTCTCTTTAAATTTCTCTTTGAGAAGTTTTTGTTGCTTTCAACACTACCTGATGTTTCAATTGCTGTTGGGGAACACCATTGCAGGTGATCACATCATGTAACAGCACAAAGGATGAATTGGTGCAAGAAGTGGAAAGTTTCAATCAAAGAAATGCGACGCAGGTTCATGAAACACGCAAAGATCCTCCTAAGTTTCAATACCTTAGTCATGTCCGCACGTATCCGACATTCATGTTTGGTGGATCCGTAGGGTCACGTGTTGCCACTGTGGCATTTCTCCGGAACTAGAACACTAATCGTTGCATGTTGTAGTTACATGGCTGTATGCAGTCAATGGATTTATGTTCCCGCATCGAGAAAGTGCCCGTCTGACTTTGCAAGTTCTTTTGTTTGTTTGAACACCGTGAAACACTCTGATTCATTTTAAGATGTTTCTTCTGTCGGGTTTTCTGCGAGTTACGCAAAAATTATACAGAAAATGTACATTTCGTTGTTAGTTCCTGTAATGTGTTTTGGTCTAATAGTTTACAAACTAGGTTATCGTTTCTTCTGTTCTTTGCAATTGAAGTACTTTGTAAGCAGGGGCGCAGTTGATGAAGTTTTCTTTTGGGTTAAAAAGAAATATATAGTTTTTGGTCAGTTGACAAACCTACCTCAAAATATATTTTCCTCAATCCTTCTTCGTGAAACAACACAAATGCTAAATCACATTGGCCTCTTATACACCTTGTTCAATCCAACGACTAGGAATAATTAAGGGTATGTGGGGTTGGGAAAATTACTTCCCAGACAGGTCAGCATATTTCGAAAAAAGTTTAAAGTTGATCAATTTTCTTATATAATAAAAGGCCCACTAATTCTCCCTCTTCCTAATCATCTTATAAATTTGAGTCACACTGTTGCACATGTATGATTTAACTCTGTTTTATTCATTATAACAATATTGATCTAAAGACACAATTAAAAGGGCACTAGATGATGATGTACGCTAAATACACAATGGTATGGGTCGATCAAGTATTTGATGAAATGTCTCACTTAAAAAGCTGGAAAAAGAATTTTGGTGATGTACGCGCCATTGTTGGAATGCAACGAGAATAGTCTTGCTTCCATCACTAGTTAAATGTGTCGCTGATGAACTAACTTATGTTCCCCACATGTCATTAGGTTTTTTCTATTGCACTCAATTTGTTTTACTTGTAACAATTTAGTGTTAACCATGATGAAGACGGAATGATGGTGAGAAGTCGCTCAGCGACTTTAAACACCAAAATCATGGTAAACAAATCAGAAGTTGCTCTGCACACATCATTTCACCCTTTTGCACACTTTTGGTTATTTTATCTCTTGATTTTCCTTAAAATTTTTAATTCAAAATTTTAGTTGTGTTTTTATTTATAAAATTTTTTTATCAATGGGTAAAAAATAAAAAATAAAAACATTTCCATGTTCTGGAATGCTTATTCTACCTCCATTTCGACCATTTCATCACTATTCACACACGAGTAGTTTTGCAAAATTGCTAGGACTATGATTATTTCTGTTCTTATTTGGATAAGCAAATTAGCTAGTCGAATTTATAAATGTTGAAGTGCATATTGAATGGAGGTTTGCTATAGAGCTTTCAGCCTTACATGTTTTTTCTTAAAAGTGTTTTCATAGGTTTTAACATAATGGATTTTATACCACTAATAGGTTGTTTGGAAGTACTTTTAAAAAAGCAAGTATTTTTTTTAATTTCTAAAAGCACTTGAAGTGCATTTTGAAAGAAATATCAATTGTGTGCTTCTTGCACGAAATACTTCAAGTGTTCTTCTTAGAATTCAGTTGCATTTTTACTAAAAATATATAGATTTCAGAAAATAAATCCTAAGAGCATTTTCAAAAGTGATGTCAAATTTTAAACATAAAGTTTAAATTTGAAAGCTTTATGTGGCACTTTGATTTTATTTTAATTTTTTTTAATTTCGTCCTTCACTTAATATGTCAAATTTAAGCTATTATTTACTTTTTATAATTGTAACTAGCATATGGGAACACACAAAGTGTGTGAGAAAATTTTTTATTTTCATTTTTGAAATATCAGGAGAGAGGAAGGGAGTAATAAAGAATGTGGTCGTGAGAAGTTTTTTTTTTTTTTTTTTTCAAATAATTAAAGATATGTTAGGATTACATGTAAGTGAGGCTTTGAAAAAAAAAAACAACAAAATTTGATTGTGTGAAATGACATTTATGCCCCATATTTCTTATTTATGCCCCATATTTCTTATTTATGATCTATTTTAATTAGAAGGTTAAACTGATAATTTCATAAGATTTTTGTTTACAATAAGTGTTTTATTAATTAGTAGAGATAAATATTTTTAAAACAAAAAATAATAATCTCAACCAAAAAAAAAAAAACAAAAAACAATAATAAAAGTAATAAGAAAACATTTATTCCTAAATTAAAAATGGATTTAAAGTTGTTAAATTTGACAACAACTACCTTTACTGTCAATTCATATCATACCACATAATAATTGACGCTTCAGAAAACTTTAATATTATTTTGGATTACTATTATTGTAGACGTTGACCTTTTAACATTTTTTTAAAGATATTCTAAATAACTTCAGCATGATCTCAAACGTGAAAATATTTTTTTGTTCATAACTTCTCTCGCTACTTAAACTATAGCTGAGTTAGCATAAGTTTAAATTATTAGTTTTACCAGTCATTCAAGTAACCCAACAAATATAATGTACTAAATTAAACTGGTGAAATAACTACCATAAAAGCACTTTCCGTAAAAATTCATTTTACCCTACTTACGGCGGGCGCCCATCTTATAAAATTCAGGAGGTGCCCAAACCAAGTTTCCATTTAATATAAAAGTTCACAGTCTATCTGACTTGTCTTCATTTCCCCTCTCTCCTATCCTCTCTTAACAACCCCTACTCTACTGTTGAATGAAAACTGACTGTAAATTCGGGCATTGACTGGCTGACCAAGCTCCGACGACTCTCAGTCGTCTCACCGCCGGATCGGAGAGAGCTGAGCTGCCCCCTTTGCCTCCACTCATATACATTTTGCCATTACTGTAAGCCTTTTCACTTTTCAGAAAATCGAATATTCTCTGTAATTAGCATGTTAGGTGGGAGACTTGGTCTCTGAAAATTTTCCGGTTGTGTTTCTTGCCGGAATTTGAATGCCGATATGGTAATTCGTAGCAATTTCCAGGCATATAGGATACTGATTTTGTTATGCATTCATGGTAGGTGGGAGGGAGTATTTGGGCGTTTTGGCACCGGTTGTCTCCGGCAATGGGGATAAGAAACAGGAAAACCGGACGTTTTTCGGTTTTCAGCTGAAGTTATCTGATTAGAAGAAGACCAGGGAGAGTGTTAATAGAGACATTAATGTAAGAGACAAGTCAAAAGAGACTTGGATGGCTTGTGAATTGTAGGGGCTCAATCAAGGATGAAATTTGAAGGGGGATTGTTTATTCTCCGGGATGACAATTTACGGGTCGTGGATTCTTGGGTTCCAGTGACTCCACAGAAGCCGACTCCAGTGAAGCCTCATCCGGTCCCAGTCAAACTTTATGGGAACCTCCATCAAGGAGGAAATCGGCAACAACAATTGACTGGAATTACGAGGGAGCATGTACCGGTGGGGGCTAGTTACAATGGCATGACTCAAGCTGTTAGCCCGAATGGTCAGCTACATAGATGTGGTTATGATGGTAGTGTGGGGGAGAACATTCAAATGATCAATCACATTTCGGACTCCTACAATGCAGGATTCTTCACACAGTTGCTCTGTGATGAAGGCTCAAGTTGGAAAGATAATCCATTGACACAACAGTTACTACATGATAATGCTGCTTATGTTGCCTCTGCAAACGGGAACCCGAGCAGAAGTGTGGACATAGCAGCGAACACACCTCTAATTCCTAAGTTGCATCCTCAATTGAGAAACCAAGGAATCGACTCGGATAGTTTCTTGCTAACCAACCAAAATTTCAACAGTGGTTCATATCCTTCAAGTAGTGTGGACATAGCAGCGAACACACTTCTATATCCCAATTTGCATCCTCAATTGAGAAACCAAGGAATCGATTCGGCTCATTTCTTGCTAACCAATCAAAATTGCAACAATGGTTCATATCCTTCAAGTAAGGTGATGAGCACATCGTTGGTTATGGATTTTCCTTCTCAAGTTGACAACAGTCAGAGAGATTCCAACTCAGTTCATTGGTTATTTGGCGACCAAAATTACTGCTCAAGTTCAAATTCAAACCCTTTGAGTTATGGTGACAGCTTGTCCCAGATATGCCAGAGTAAGTATTTTTATTCGGTTCTCATATCTGTGTCATACACTGCAAACAAAGATTTCCATGAAATGTGTCACAAATCCATCAAAGTCTTACGTGACAAATAACTGATTCAAACATTTGGAATATTGTCATAGATGAGAGCACTTCCAAGCGGAACTTTCATGTCTTGAAATCTCTAATATTAGAAAGCCAGAAGTCAAGTTTGGTGTCTCAAGGCTTCACCAAAAATAATTGGACTAAAAAGCCCTTTAAACAAAAAAATCCAAAACTGAATGAAAATAATAGAAACAAATTTACAAGGGCAATTTTGTCACAAACAAATAGAAAATTTGGAATAAAAACAGCAAATTATTTAAAAAGCTGAAAAAAGGAAAAAAAAGAGACGTGAGTGAAAAAACTAAACATGGTGTTCATCATTTTCAACCGTATTAATCCCCCACTTTCTCAGTTACCTTCCACAATTAACCGGCTATTCCCTCCAGCGCCGCTTTCGTCCTCCACCACATTCTCAAGCACTCTCTCTCAGCGTCCCCACTCCACCTCTAATGCCGTCGTTTTTGTCGCCTTCGGCCGCCCCTTCTCCCACTACGATCGCATCCTCCGAAGACTCAGACTCGCTCTCTCCATAAAGAATTCCAGTGGTAATTTACTTTTTTTTTTTTTTTTTTTTTTTTTAAATTTTTCATTGCAGAAATAAAATTGGGGTTTCTAAATTTCGGATGTGTTTTTTGGAACAGTGTTGCAATTTTAGGTCTGTTGTATTTCTTCATTCGTGCACTGTGCGTAAATCGGCTTCAAAGGGCAGTCAGGTTTCTTCTTTATTGTGCACTGTGCGTAAATCGGCTTCAAGTTACCTTATTCTTGCTACTCTGTAAGTGAAGGAGAATGTTTTGCAGAGGTGCAATGAGTCACAAACTTTTTAGGCTGTTTGGTTGGTAAAGATAGCATAGTATGCGAGAAAAAAAACTGGGAAATATAGTAGTAAGTGGACACAGACTCGCTCTCTCCATAAAGAATTCCAGTGGTAATTTACTTTTTTTTTTTTTTTAATTTTTCATTGCATAAATAAAATTGGGGTTTCTAAATTTTGGATGTGTTTTTTGGAACAGTGTTGCAATTTTAGGTCTGTTGTATTTCTTCATTCGTGCACTGTGCGTAAATCGGCTTCAAAGGGCAGTCAGGTTTCTTCTTTATTGTGCACTGTGCGTAAATCGGCTTCAAGTAGTCACCTTATTCTTGCTACTCTGTAAGTGAAGGAGAAAGTTTTGCAGAGGTGCAATGAGTCACAAACTTTTTAGGCTGTTTGGTTGGTAAAGATAGCATAGTATGCGAGAAAAAAAACTGGGAAATATAGTAGTAAGTGGACATGAAAAAGATCATGATTAATGAGACTAAACCATTAAAACAGAGCATGATTAAAGAGGCCATGATTTATTAATGGAACCATGACATTACAAGTTAACTTTATGTTTTTGGATGTACATATTGTTTATCTTTTGTTTTGAATCAATGTATCAAAAAGTACCAGAATTTGGTCATGATATATTGAAGAAATGTAACCTACGTCGTATGATTAAACATTAACATTATTTCATTTACACATTTATCAAATACATTTAAAAAATTTAAGAGCGTCCAGCGCCTGTGATAAATAGAAGGTCTTTTGCACGTGCGTATGCACGTGAGTATTGTGTATGTTTACATTGAAATAATGTGTATGTAGATTGGTATGAATCAGTGGCCATACTATTTCAGTGTTTTTTGGTACTTCCCTAATCCTGTGATTGAGTGCAGGGTATAGCCGAAACAGAAAAAACTAATGTACACGAATTTCTTGATGTTAACGGCAGACCAGTTCTCATAGTGGATGCTTCTAAGCATCTTTCTGCTGTAAATTTTATATTTTTCGCCATGTCTGACTCCATACCATATAATCTTAATATTTTTGAGGTGTTACATGCAAATTTTAATCGATAAAATAGTGTTACTTTTAAACTTAAAACATGCAGACTCTAAGGGACACCATCCATCAAGAGTATCGTGATGTTGTCGAGAGGCGAGTTTTTACAGGTTTGAATCCCTCACTTGCCACTCATCAGTGGTTGCTATATCTGGAGCTTCTACTTGAATTTCTATGATCTGATTTTATAGTTTATTTCTCTTGCATTTTGTGAATGTCAGTAACGAGCATAAGAGCTGATGAAGAGGTAAAACTTATTGCACTGTCGAAATTACGGTATATCTATACCAATGTGAAAGCTCAGTTTCTAATTATTTAACATCGTACAGACAATTGAAAGATTAATCGACACACAATACAGTGAACATATTTTATGGATGGCAATCCAAGAACAAGGTGGAGGCCAGGTTTGTCAAATTTCCTTTTTTATTCTCTACCCCCAAATAAACACTTTTTACTATCGAAATTGTGCATTCTCTCACAAACTTGACAAATTTTTTGACATCTTGAACAATTAATTTTAAGCTCCTAACTCTTCTAGCTTGGGTTGTTGAAACACTTAATTTTCTGATTAAGATTGATCAGGTCCAAAATTGTGTATCAAATTGTAGATAATGGACACTTTGGCCAAAATTCAAGAGCGACACGATGCTGTTAAAGATCTTGAAAGAAAGCTTCTGGATTTACAACAGGTATCTTCTTAGTTTGTTCAATGATGTGTACTCTGTGATGGAAATGAAGTTGCTATATAATACAAATGTCTAGCATAGGCCTTACTTTTTAGAGTTCACTTTACAATTTGGTATTGCGGTATTGAATATAATAACATTAATCTGTTGAATCTTGCTGCCTGGCATTCTGCAAGAAAGTGTAGGATCGGTTAGATCATTAAGTTGTGTCATGATGTGTTAATCTGTGTCCGTCATGTAGCTCATAAGAAAACCAAGCTATGGTCCACTTTTAATGTCACGATTCATTGAGGCCAAGGCCAACCGGGAGAATAGCTGCAAAACTGAAGGGAAAACTTTCTATTTGTGTTTCGCCATGGGTATATGATATATGTTAAACACTCACTCTCTCTTATGCACATATATTTCTCATGTCTTGCTATTTTGTAGATTTTTCTGCAATTTTTTTGGGTTACTAATAGTGTTGGCCTAATTTATTTATCGTTTGTGTGTGACTAATTTACTTTAGAGCTATTAAAAAACAAAAGGTTATATAGTCTCTGAAAAACAAATTTTTTCAGGGGATATAATGTGATCAATTCCTTTGACAAATGCAGGTGTTTGAAAATTTTCAACTCTGCAAGTTGTGAAAAAAAGGGTTTCGAAGTATTGTGCTTTCACGTTTCGTCATCTTTCCATTTCTGTTTCAAGGATTTTTGCACTAAAGGTAAGTGATCTAAAATTAGGGATTTGTTAACATCAAATTTTAAGTATATGGTTTCATTCTATTTTTTAAGTTTGAATAAACTTTGATATTCCTTTTAGCTTTGATTGTGTTTAAATTTAAGTCCTAATTTCGGTGGTTTGTTTATAATTAGTGGATGTCTTTAGTATTTCGTGTAAAACCTTTTGGTAGTTTCTGCATTATCTTCACTTATAATTCTGCTTTATCAGGTCGAAGACTTCTCAAGGGAGCCACAAGTAGAACGTGAACTGATGCTTATCAAACTTAATGCATATCCAAGTATCCCTCCAGAGGTAAAATTTTCGATCATCCAACCAATATTTGGATGATCGTTCAAATATGTTTAAATGATCCACCCCTAAGAATAATCATCAGTAATATGTGGTGCTTCTGCAGACCAACATTTGTTATAAAATTTGTTATCTGTTTCATTTTTTATTATCACAGGTAGTGAAATTAATAGGAATGTTCTTTTCTGTTGTTTTCGATATGCCAGAAATACATTCGGGTGAGAGCGGGTCCAAGAGGTGTTTTCAAATAAAAGTTATCTCCAGTGGTAGGTATCTCCTTCTCTTGCTGTTTGCATTCTACTGGCATAATTGTTACAACAGCATAATGTCAGGTCGAGAAAGAGTCTTGCTCGGTACAACATTTCAACTCTCAATCTTAATCTTTTATACTCAAATCTCAAACTCATTTGTTTTGATCCTGTCAAGCTTAAATAAGGATTACAAACATGGACTATTAATCGGTAGTGGGTGGTTTGCATTACTAATATCAATTCCCTGTCTACATTCTGCTCATTTCTTTTTGGTTAAATAGGCTTTGGTGCATTGAATTAGTGGAGCATTTAAACAGAGATACAAACAGAATTACTGCATTACTAAGGTACTTCCTTCATTTCACTCTTAATTTGTTAGATGGTAGACAATCGCACATCATGTTTAATATTTACTTTGAATGTTGTCAAAGGCATCACCTTTTTATGCCTACTTTAGAACAAAACTCTAATTAATCTTCACATGAGATAAGACTTTACATTTTTCGTACTTGAGTGATTTTAACACCATCGTGATCAATATTAAGCATGTACGTCCAAAACAGAATAGGCTACTTTCCCTGCCAGAGATGAAATAGAAAGGGATGACAAGAATGGTCATCCATTAGGCCCTCAGGAAGGCAATGCAGCCGATGGCCTTTTAAAAACGAGGAGAGAGAGAGAGAGAGAGAGAGAGAGAGAGAGAGAGAGAGAGAGAGAAAGGGTATTTTCCCTTTGCCTTATGATTTATGGTTCAACTATATATAATGGATGTAAGCTTAATTTTTTTTTTTTTTTTTATGTTTTCATATTTTTCTTCAATTTTACCTTTATTAAGAATTATCAAATTGAAATTTCAGTTTTAAGATTTTTGGAGGACTACAACATATCAAGTATGGAGGGAATTGATAGAAGCGATATGTCAGAGGTTGTTACCTTATCTGCATTATTCCTCTTTTGTACAGATGATATATTTTTTCTTCTTTTTCAAAAATAAAATAAAATTCATTTTGTTTAGCAATTTCTCAATGTAGGTTGGCAATGAAGAAGTTGACTTTGGACAAACAAATGTTCACAATTTTCAACAGTCAGACCCAAGGTATCGTAGGAGTAATCAAGAAAGGCAAAATCATAGGAGCAATCAACAAAGACAAAGACGACAATCTATGAATTCATCACAGCGGGCTCGAATTTCAATACGACGACGTGCCAATTATCAAACCCGCTTGAACTCAATCAATATAGTCCAAAATCAAACAGAAGTAAACCAAGAAAACATAGGACCGACATCTGCGGGTAACTATGATTTCTTATTTTTTTGTCTCTATTCAATTCGTATGTTGTATTAACATTTTTGTACAAATTATTAAGACAAATATAATAAGATTGAACAAATCAGTGATTCTAAGTTGTCATTGCCTTTTTGTACTATCAATGCAAACATCCATTTAATAATTCTGTTATGTCTATAATAATTTCAACATTTGGATTGTATATATTTACCATAGTGACCAACGTTTTAACAAGTACTCCAAACAAGAAAAATAAATAAATAAATAAAAATTAAAAAAATAAATAAAAATAAACAAATAAGGAAAGGAATATTATGTAAACTTGGAATAACAGTTCAACTATAATAGTCAAGAGAAAAATATAAAAATAACATCACATAAAGATATAGTACATCGATACTAAATGGAAAAAATTGTGAAGTTAAACAAAAACATGTAGCACATAATTATACAGATGCAAAATCAAAGGAAGCAAAAAGCATAACCCAAATCAGAGAAATGAAATCATAAATCAATGATTCAGTGCATGAAATTCACTAAATTTTAGTAAACCCTAGATTCAGAGATATTGGCGTTGCATTCATTTTCATCCGAAAACGGCTAGAAGAAAACCACTCTCATCCAAAAAAAAAAGAGTTTTTCTTTTCTGTGATCAATTAAAATAAACAATACTATTCATCCAAGGTCTGGCATCCAAAACAATCCACAGTTTTTGCTTTTTTGATCACTAAAATCTACAGACTTTAAAGAGAAAATAGCTCAAAATACAAAACATTCACTTTTTCTTTGTTTTCTTCTTCCTCTGCCACTTATTATGTGACCTAGGCAGTCTCAATCAAACGAAAATAAAAAAAAACGTAATGTATACCAATGATTCAATTACAAAAACAAAAGGAAAAAAAAATACGTATGTAGGTACTTAAATAATATTCTATGCTTACTAATATTTTTCGTGCACCATTACGTTTCTTGGTTTAGAGCAACAAAATGCATATGTTACTGATGAGACACAAAGCCAACGAGAGCAATGGCGGGATCAACAACGTATGAGGCGGAATTCAATGAGTTCAAGCCAAAGACACGAATATTTAGCACGGCGACGATCCAATTATCGTGTTCAACAAATTCAACGCTCAAACATAATGCTATTTGGTGGTGATGCCGATCAAGTTCAACACCCTAACATAGTGCAATTCGATGAAGGCAGTAGCAATCATGTTGAACGACTAAACATAGTGCCGTTTGGAGAAGGCAGCAACAATCAAGTTCCAAGAACAATGCGCTTAACTCATATAAGGCAAATTGCCCGATCGAATAGGACACGCTTGCCTCGGGATGGACTAATACAAAGTTTCACTAATAATGGTAATCGCACAAACTACCATAGTACAACTTTGAAAAAGATAAACATCAATATCATCATTACTGTAAACACTACTTATTACCTTACTTCCATTTCATTTGATTATAACAGAAAATACAACAGCGCAATCGTTCAGTTCGAATACTCCAATGAGTCATTGTTATCTGCCCATCATCAATGAAGGTATTAGCTTTTGAATATTAATACCTACAATTTCAACTATGCTCTCTAAATCATGAAACACCTTTAATGTTTCCTTTTTAAGCAGATGCTTTTAATCTCATTAATGAAAATGAGATCCAGCCTAACGAGGACGTACCACCTCGACATCATACTATGGGAAGAAGGCCAATTCATAATTGTGCTAGAAACTTTAATGAAAACATGGAAATCCCAAGATTTCACATGCCAAATCCAACCACATGTCCAGATTGTCATGCCCGTTTGTTCTCTCATGAAACATCTGAAATGTGTTGCTTACGTGGAAAGCTTGCTCTACCATTGGCACCGTCCCCTCCTGAAATGACTGAGCTTTTTTGCAACCAATCTGCCGAGGGAAGACATTTTAGGCAGAATATACGAGCTTACAACCACATTTTTGCCTTCACTTCAATGGGAGTTCATGTTGACGAAAACCTAGCAACTGGAAGACGTGGTATTTACACATTTCGTGCTCAAGGTTCCATATATCATAAGATTGGAAGTCTTTTGCCTATTAGAGATAGTAGACCGAGATTCCTACAAATGTATATATATGACACAGCTCATGAAATAGACAATCGAATGAGAGAAAGTGAAGCACTAAACAGAGGTGTGGTTGAAAAAATCCAACAAATCTTGAATCAATATAATCCATTTGTGCAAACATTTCACCACCTTGCGCAACGTCAAGATTTGCAAAGTTGTAGATTGATTATCAAAGAGCAGCCCGCGAATCAACGACAATATTGTCTACCATCTGCATCTCAGGTTGCTGCAATCATAGTAGGTGGTGAAGGATCAGAAAACATTAGAGGTCGAGATATTGTTGTGCAAACTACAGATGGTCAACTTAAGAGTATCAAAGACTGTGTCGGCTACTATGACCCTTTACAATATCCATTGTTGTTACCTTATGGAACATATGGATGGGATGTGAATACTCGAAATAACAACAGCAGAAAAGTGACATGTTGTGACTATTATTCGTATCTTCTTCAGGTAACCTAAGACCTTCATCTCTATGAATACAATATAAATTTTTAAAACTTATATTGTGTTGAACAATGAATTTTATCATTTTAGATCCGTCAACATGACGAATCGCTTCTACTTCGTGGTGGCCGCCTATTGCAACAATATGTAGTTGATAACTACGTCAAGATCGAATCACAAAAGCTTAGATGGATGCGTAATAATCAACACACAATTCGATCTGAATTTTATCGAGGACTGCAAGACTCATTAATTGCAGGACAAAATAATGCAGGTATGAAGCTAATCAGTTTATAATAAAACATATATTCTTTAAGTTCATGTTCTGTCACATTAAATGAGACTTATTAAAGGGTTGAAACAAAACAACATATTTAGACTTATTAACGACTTATAACAAAACAAATACAGGAGACGTCGGTCGTCGTAGGACTATATTACCATCATCTTTTGTTGGTAGTCCCCGAGACATGTATCAAAGGTATCAAGATGCAATGACTTTGGTTCAAAAATATGGAAGACCAGACATTTTCCTAACAATGACATGTAATCCAACTTGGGAAGAAATAAGTGATGAGCTACTACCTGGCCAAACACCACAAGATCGACCAGATTTGCTTACAAGGGTTTTTCGTGCAAAATTTGAAGAGTTGAAGAATGATGTTATAAAAAAAGGTGTTTTAGGCAAAGTTCTTGCATATGTATATGTCATTGAGTTTCAAAAGCGCGGTCTCCCCCATGTTCACATGCTTCTCATGATAGAAGAAAATGATAAGCTTAATAGTCCAGATGATTATGATCAGGTGGTACGGGCTGAAATACCAAATCCAAATGAAGAGCCTGAATTGTATGGTGCCGTCTTAAGGCATATGATACATGGTCCATGTGGAATACACAATTCACGATCACCCTGTATGAAACGTGGTAGCTGTAAATGAAATTATCCTAAGCCATTTGCACCAACTACAGTTCAAGGAAATGATTCTTATCCAGTCTATCGTAGAAGAGACAATCATGATCCAATCCCATTAGATCATAATGCACGTATAATGGTGGATAATCGGTGGGTCATTCCGTACAACTCATGGCTACTCCTCAGATATGATTGTCATATTAATGTTGAGATTTGTTGCAGCATTAAGAGTGTTAAGTATCTGTACAAATATGTTTACAAAGGTCCCGACCGAGTAGCTTTTGAAGTCCATCATGAACCTATTCAAGATGAAATAAAGCAGTTTGTTGATGCAAGATGGGTTTGTGCACCTGAAGCTTTATGGAGAATATTCAAATTTGTAACTAATCGACTTTATCCATCGGTGGAACGATTACAAATTCATCTTCCTGAAGGACAAACTATTCATTTTTACCCTCACCAAAGAGTAGCAGATATTTTGGCAGATGACACTAACTCGATGACTATGTTGACAGAGTTTTTTATCAAGAATACCACTTGCCCGGAAGCAAGACAATACTTATACCGGGAATTCCCTGAACGGTTCAAATGGAGTCAAAGAGATAAACTCTGGAGTGAGAGGATGAATAACCATAAAGTTATTGGCCGGATATATGCAGTCTCGCCGAATGAGGGTGAAAAATTCTACTTACGCATCCTTCTTAATCATGTTAGAGGACCAACATCATTTGAGAACTTAAGAACAGTAAATGACATTGTACAACCAACATTTAAGAAGGCAGTGGAACAACGAGGTTTGCTAGAAGATGATGATAGCATTAGACAGTGTCTCTGTGAAGCCACTAACATTCGCATGCCGTCAGCTTTGCGAAGGTTGTTTGTTACCATCTTAGTTTATTGTGAGCCACATGGAGTAAGAAGATTATGGGATGAATTTCATTCATTTATGGTGGAAGATTATTCTATTTCAAGTACCACAAATAATACTTCTATCTTGAACAAGCTTTTGCAAGACTTGAACGGACTATTAGTGCAACATAGTAAGTCTGTATCTGATTACGATTTACCACAAATAACACAAGATTGTGTTAGAGACAACACAATTCCAAGGATAATACAAGATGAAGTTTCACTTGACATCTCTGAAGCAGACCTCAATGCGGTACAAAATCTAAATGAAGACCAAATGACAGCGTATAACTCGATTGTGTCTGCTATTGAACAACGAGACAATGCCATATTTTTTGTGGATGGTCCCGGAGGGACAGGAAAGACATACTTATATCGTGTTTTGTTAGCAACCTTAAGGAGTAAGGGTCATATTATATTGGCAACAGCAACATTTGGAATTGCAACAACCATATTACCAGGTGGAAGGACAACACACTCTAGATTTAAAATTCCCCTCAGTCCAGATGCATCTTCCACATGTTCTATTAGTATCCAGTCAGATTTGGCAGAATTGATAAGAAAAACATCAGCTGTTGTTTGGGATGAAGCACCAATGGCACACAGGTTTGCATTTGAGGCTCTCGATCGAACGTTCAAAGATATAATGGGCGTTGACCTACCATATGGAGGAAAGGTCATAATCTTTGGAGGAGATTTTCGACAAGTTCTTCCAGTTGTTCCAAAAGGTACAAGATCTGAATTGATGCAAGCAAGTATGATTAATGCTTCATTTTGGGAACACGTGAAAATCATTCGTCTTAGGCATAACATGAGATCCATCAATGATCAAGACTTTTCAGAGTTCTTACTTCATGTTGGTAATGGGGAACAAGAAACTATGATAGACGACATGATGCAATTACCATCATCTATGGTTATTCCATGGAATGGTGAAGAATCCATTTTCCAATTGGTTAATGAAGTTTTCCCCGATTTGGAATGTCATGTATGTGATGCAAGATACTTGGTGGAAAGAGCAATTATAACACCAAAAAATGAGGATGCTGACAAAATCAATAAAATGATCATCGATAAATTTCCGGGGATTGAACATATCTTATACTCTTTCGATTCAGTTGAGGACGATGTGAGAAATTTGTATCAACAAGAATTCTTGAATTCAATCTCACCTGGTGGAATGCCCCCTCATCAGTTAACTTTGAAAAAAGGTGCCCCGATAATGCTTTTGAGAAATATCGATCCGAAGATGGGGTTGTGCAATGGTACAAGACTGGCTTGCCATGGAGCTTACAATAATCTAATTGATGCCGAAATCTTATCTGGACAATTTGCTGGAACTAGAGTGTTTTTACCAAGAATCTCTTTAAAGACCACAGAAAGCGCAGGACTCCCATTCGAAATGATGAGAAAACAGTTTCCAGTGAAATTGAGTTTTGCACTAACTATAAATAAATCACAAGGGCAAACAATACCAAATGTGGGTATTTATCTACCAGATCACGTATTCAGTCATGGACAATTGTACGTGGCTTTATCAAGAGGAGTTTCAGCGTCTACAACAAAAGTCTTGGTAAAGAAAGGAGAGTTACACGGTAACGAAGGAGTCTTCACAAGAAATGTTGTGTACAAAGATATTTTGCTTCCCTCGAATTCAACATAAGGTTACATTCTTTCTTTTAATGTTTAATTCCCTTTTTCAACTTTTAATGCACTTCAATTACAAATAATGCTAATATTTGATTTTAACCAAACGCATTAAATTTTCAACATGACGGAATGATATGAGTTCATGATATTTTTTTGTGTCATGTGTATCAAGGTCAATTAAATTTCTCGGATTGTTTTTATACTTTTTATTTAATTTTTAGTTGCAACTAAGTTATAAGGATCTTCTCTGTTATTTATTACTTTTTTTTTTTTTTTACATATTCTAGACAAAATACTTTAGATCCCGCCTGTATTATTAGAGATGATAATCGCCTTTATTTTATGTTTCTATACTTTGAACCAATCCTCGCATGTAAATACATCTAAAATGTGTAAGTTGCGTGTAGCGTGCCGTGATTTAAAAAGTGTCTTTCGCACGTGCTTGAGAACACCGTAATAGGCATTGCTGTGTGTGAGAGAGTATCCACGTCAACAACTTCAATTTATTGCTTCCAATTAGGTGCAGTCATCTTCTAGATTTCATCCCTCACCTCCAAACTTGGTATCATACTTTCTAAAGCATATACATTGACAACCACAATGGAACAAAACTAACACAATACACATTTAGGGGCGCGTAGCGCCCGTGATGCAAAAATGCCTCTCGCACGCACGTTAGTGCGTGCAGAGAGGCTAGTTTCAACTTAATTGCAAGTATCTTTTACATTTAACCAATGATCTATATGCACTATAACTTGTTTGTATCTTATCTTTATTTTTCACTTAACCAACTTCATTTTGGCACCCAAACACTACCTAAAAGTAAAGACTTGACGCTGTTGGATGATGTTAACCAAAAACAAAAGAAAAGCAGGGGAAAGAGGGGCAAAACAAAGCAAGAACGTTACACTTTTTGAATGCCATTAGATAATAGTGATTCTTAGTATTAACCTCCGTAAAGTTTACCCACTTTAACTTAGATGTGGTGGTTGGCTCTCAAAATCTAGTGGCTTGTTGTACTTGAAAGCCTAAAACATTTACCTTTGCACAATTCAACGGCTTAAGGCAATAGACCAATATATATAAGCAATCCATAAAATATTTCAATTTTAATTGGAAAATCACAAATTGATGAAGGTGAAACATTTATAACTTGGGTGTGTCATACTGCATCTAAATGGTCTTGAAATCATGATGAATTTCACTCCAGTGGACAATTTCTTAATGGCCATATATTGCCAAAAATCCCTTCACTGTTAAAATTATTTGACAGAAAAACTGCTTTCTGCACAGATGATTTCCCTGTACCATTCATGTCAAGCTGTGATCTAAACTCCTTACCAACAATAGAAGCCGATGCTGCCTCATGTGTTGCCAGCCAACACCAATTCACAACAGACCAGGACAAGAATTTGGAGAACGACCAGCTTTCTGCATTACTGAAATTCTTGATGGAGGAGGGTTCTAGCAAGGAAAAAGATGAGCAGGTGAAACTAACCACGTCTATAGGAGATGAAGCAATTCAAAAAAATGGTTACGAACTCTTGCAGAACATTGTGAAGTCATCAACATCAGCAATTTCTACACCATACAAGGGAAACAAAGATTCTGACAGGGAAGGTGACAGAGGGACTGATCTAAACAAGACACCGCAGCAGAAACCATCGAAGCGAAGAAAACACAGGCCCAAAGTAATCAGAGAAGGCAAACCCAAGGGGACACCAAAGCCTACAACTCCAAGCAATACAGAGTCTAAGGAGAGCCAACCAGCAAAGAGGAAGTACGTAAGAAAGAATGTTCAAAAGGAATCCCCAAGTCCACTGGCAAATGGTATAAGGGAGACAATAGACCCTAATGCTGGAAAAGGTGCAAAATCATGCAGAAGAGCTCTAAATTTTGATTCGGAAAATACCATGGATGAAAACCAATGCAAAGCAGGTGGTCAACAAGATGAGATGCAGCAAGGGATCAAGATGAATTTTGATTCTCAAGGGACACCTATTGTCCCTGTAACTAACCAGGGTTTAAAAGCCAGACCAGCAAAGCAAGGTGCCCTACAGAACGAATTGATGGTAGAGAACCAGATTCCAGGAACTATGAGTAACTGTACCTCTTCCATGAATCTCATGCCAAATAACTTTTTATTCCTGCCAGAAAGGCAACCATCGGCATCCCTACTTGCTACAACAAAAGACATGCATCTGAAAAATTTGCATGTTATGGGTAGACATGTAGAAAATGGGAATTATGATTTATGCCAGAGAAGATGCAGAGATGGATACTCCCTTGCAGCAACTTCGCCATGATGAAGTAATGTGTCAAGATGTCATTCGAGCAAAAACTAGTGGTAAGAGCCGTCAGATGAAAGAAAATATTACCCAGGGTGACTCTCACTCGGTACTAAAGATCTTCTCCCTCTCCCTTCCAAGTGAAGTAAGGGGATCCAAGAGGGAGTATTGTCGAACCGTGGAGCATACACATCTTTCTACCAATCATCCACCTAGTTCACTGTCTTGCCAAGAGATATATCAAATGGATGGCCATCAGAGAATGCTAGGCCAGGATTTTTCACCACGTCATAAGAAACAGAAATTCGAGAATGGGTATTTGGGCATCTATAATACGCCTTGTGAAGTTACACCAATTGAGAAGCGTCTGGGAAAATTTGAAAGAACAGGGCAAAATAAAGTCAACTCAAATGGATTCGCATCAAAGAAACATACGATATTGAGTTCTTCCATTGAAAGTAACAAAAGCATGGATAGACAGAACAAAGGAGTGGACAAGTTTACGAGTGACAGATACACTTACTCAATCACTTCTGGGAATAATTTTCTAAATCCGCAGATCTCATCCAAATCACATTCATGCCACGATTTCACCCAAGGTCTTGGTTTTTCCACCCATTCCACGATCGAAACCTGTAACCAGCTAGCCTCATCATACCCCAAAAAATCCGTTGAACCAGGAAACAAGCAGGTATCTCGAACTCACCATGATAACATGTTAAAAATGAAGCAGACTGTGGGACCCACACAGGCAGGTATAGATAATGTCCTGCTAGAGAAGGATGCCTCGTACAATTATCAGCAGCCTTCTTCAAAAGCAATCGGTACTTCTAACATAAAAAACCTCTTAAAAAAATGTATCATCACAATAGTTATTTTCAACTCACAAATAATGACATACTCTTGATTTTGATGCAGGATTTCCGGTAAGTGGACATATTATATCAATAGATAACATCATAAATGAGTTTAATAATCTGAACCTCAATGGAAGATGCAGCAAAATTTTAGAGCACGAGCAAAATGCCCTTGTCCCGTACAAAGGAGACGGTGCAGTTGTTCCCTACGAAAGATTTATCAAGAGACGTAAGCCACGGCCTAAAGTAGAGCTTGACCCAGAAACAAATAGGATATGGAATCTTTTGATGGGCAAGGAAGGAAGCGGAGGCATTGAAGGAAATGATAAGAAAAAGGAAAAGTATTGGGAAGAGGAAAGAAAGGTTTTCCAAGGCCGAGTTGAATCATTCATTGCACGCATGCATCTTGTTCAAGGTACAATAACTTATATTTTATTCCTAAATTGTATTGTCAAGAACTACCACGTTGCATATGTTAAAAAAATTATAACGTCAACATTGCCGTCTACATGCTTGAAAGCTCTTTAACAGATTTAATTGCAAAGTATTATTAAATATTGAAGCTCTGAACTAAAGAGGACGATCATCCTTAGATTCATTACTATACTGTATTGCCTGTCCAACTGTGTGAACTGCAAGTTAAGCCACCCACCTAGTAAGCTAGAAAAAAAACATGTACTTCCTTCTTTTTATTCTTTTCTCTTTCTTTTTCTTTTTTTTTTTTTTTTGGGTGAAAAAAGAAGGGTTTTTCACACAATCACACCTGAAATAATGAGAAGGTAATAGAAGACTGACATTTTAGGGATTAAAAGGTCTTTTGATTACATAGACGTCTTGAGAAGCAATAGCTTTAGAGAAGATACAATTGTTTTGTAATTGAGTGAATATGTACTGTAAATTAATCAGCTCTAAGCACTTGATGTAGCCCTTTCTTAATCTATACTCCATTATAAACAATGATTAATACAAAAGCCTTTTCATTACATCAAAAATGACTGACTAGGAAGAATTCAAGTGCAAAAATGACCAAAATATGAATAAAAAGAATTAGCATTGTTATGTTGGCAAATACATATTTTTCCAAGTCAATTTGAAAATCTACTAAAAAAAATGTTTAGTAAATTATCCAGAAGACCAGCGCAGCCTTGACCAAATGGTTAAACCAGTGAACCATAACCTATTTATCAGAGTTGATGGCCGGTAAAATTTTGATAAATATGCAGTGAGGTTCTATCTAGCAGAAAATCTTAAATGATCACAACAATGGTACACACACACACACACACACACACACACATGTACGAAAACAAAGATATGAATGTTTTAAATTTCATACCACTTGCTAGGCTGACCCACGTTTCCTTTTCTCCTAAAGCAGCAAATTTTCTAGCTCACATAAACTACTTTATTGGCAATCTGCAGCACAAAATACATTTTCACCTATGTCAAGAATCCACAAGGTTTCAATTTTATATTCAATATGGAAAAATTAAGCTCAATCTAACTTGACTACATATGAAACATATATAAACCAAGCTGATGCCATTTTTTGCGAAGAAGTTTTTCATTGTTAAAGATTGCACAATTTGTATTTCTCCCAATTAGACAACGGGTAAGAAGTACTTTTGCTTCTCATGTACCATAAAGACATAATTCATTATCATTTTCTCCAATTAGTTGATGGGTACTTCAAGGGTAACATGCAGAACCTTTGATAAAATTAATCTATACAGGAGACAGACGTTTTTCAAAATGGAAAGGATCAGTTGTTGACTCAGTGATTGGAGTTTTCCTTACTCAGAATGTTTCAGACCATCTATCAAGGTACGTTCACAACTTTGGCATGTATATACATTATACAACCAGATTTCCCATACGTGAATGTCTTGAAAGTGAACAGTATTCTTTTTGTTCCTTTAACCTTTGTAGCTCTGCCTTCATGTCTTTGGTTGCACGATTTCCGCTTAAGTCAAGCAATCACGAAGCTCAACAGAAGGTTGGGACAAACATATTGGTAAAAGAACCAGCAGTTCGCATGACAAGTCCAGATGATGTCACCAAATGGCATAAAGATATGTCAAGTCAGCCAATCTATCACCCGATTTCTAGGACACTCCATGAATCTGAAGATAACCAGAGAGACAGTGATACCTCAGGGACAGAAAGGAACTTAGTGGAGGCACACAGTCAATGTTTGGAGGAAGAATTTGTATCATCTCAAGATTCTTTTGAATCCTCAGTCACTCAAGGCGCTGCAGGAATCAATTTGTACTCGGGCTCCAACTCAGAAACAGAAGATCCTATCACTGGGTGCCAACCCAAGAAGGTTTATGTTTCCCTTTCAACAGATCAACAGATGGAGAAAGCAACCAAGTTTCGAGACGTTTACAGTCAAGTAAATGTGAAATGTGAGGTCTCGTGACGAGTTGATTGTATTCTGTACAGAATAGTTCAATAAATTCCGAGAAAGGAGTAATCCATTCAATAACTTCCCAGAAGGTCCAAAACATTCTTAAC